CGAATTATCTCCTTACAACAAAATATAATTAATAGGAAATTAAGTATTCGATATTCGACCGAATAGTATGCACATATTCGGTATTCGGCCGAATATAACAAAAGCAGCCGAATAGGCCGAATATCGAATATTCGTTACAAGCCTAATAATTTTCATAAATTGAACGATGCGTGCAACAAATATAAAAATAGTTTTTGGAATTAATTTTTATATATTTTGCCGTCCACTGAACTTAATACATTTCAGCAGTTAGGACACATCACACTATTCCCTGGCAATTAAATGAAAAACTAAAAGCGATAAATAACTCTGAGGAGACGACCGCTTACTTGAAAGAGAGTCTTTTTGCTGAGGTCGTGTTTGTTTTTACTACGACCAGCTATTTAGCACATAGGTTTTTTAAAATGAGACGCGGTCAGACAAACAGTCAAACGGACACAGTGAAATATTAATCCGTGTGAATCCTATAAATATTTTGAACAATTAATAATAAGTAGTCTTGAGATCTAGCAAGTGCTGTGCTATTATTCTGGATTCTTACTGAATGCGAACTATTTTTAGGTTTTTAATTTCAAATCAAAATATTGGCAGTCGTGTTTTATCATTTTTAAATAATTTCTTTTCATTTTTTTTCTTTTAGTAATCAAGACCTTTAACTCGAGACTCATATTGCCATAATTAAAGAAAGAAAATCATACTTTTTAAATGTCTTCATAGATCCACCATAATGAATATTAAAAAAAATGTTTCTAATGATACCTTATAGGTACATGCAAATCCGTTAAGTCTTTCAAAAGTTATAATGGAATAAATAGAGACACATACATACATACATTAACCCTAAACACAATACACTCCTATTTTGAGCTCCTATATATATATCGTGTAATAATATAGCTGATTAACAATGCGACATAGTCGACGGTTGCGTTTGAATCAAACCTCTTACATCTAGCCGGGCTAGAAGCAACTAAGTGGTTTGTCGTGTCCTTTCCGACTGTGTATTTAATTGCATCAACTTTAATTCAGATCTCTTTTTATTTTTTAAATAAGATTTAGCCGCTGACAATCTAGTCCCTAGAAATCTTCAGTTGTGCCGATAAAAGTAAAGTTCTGAAGCGTTATTGCCACTACTGTCTTCGATGTAAATACCACATTGATTATGTAGCAATTATTTGAATACTCTTTTTGAGTTTACAAAATAAAGCTGTTTTTTTTTTAATTTGGCTAATTCTCTCGTTTCAGACTTCAGAGAGTAAAATAAGGCAATATAACAGACTTATAATTGTATTACTTCATTTTATTCAAAAGAAAATTCTGTTCTAGAGAACTCTTTTTAATTATATAATAGCTGTAGGTACTTATGATGTAGAATAAATACCTACATAAATATAGAAGTAACCAAATGAAGAAAATTATAATTATAAATTATATCCTTTTTAAAGTTTCTGAGGATATATACTGAAAGGATTTTGATAAAATTTGGTATACGAATAATTCTAAGCTTGAATTTTATATATAGGCTTTTTATCCCACTAGTATAAAATGTCGTTCTATAGGGACCATGTGATGGAAGTCGCTGGCAGAAAGCTAGTCTAGCACCGAATTACTGCCTAAATTATAAGCTTTGAGATAAGGCAAACGGCAGATTTGCTGGACATATTGAATTAAGATAAATTTTTCTCGTTTTAGGAACACTTTAAGATGGAATTTCAGTGTTATATTCCAAATTTATAATAAGGTTTATTATTCCATATTCTGTAACATTCCTCTACAAGTAATTTAAGTACATAATAGATCAATAAATATTAAATACATATGTAAATTACATAATATTTCTAAATATTATCTGTAAAATAAAAATGCTATGCTCTTAATACTTATTTATTTAATCGACCTAATCTAATGAAAACAAATTTCTTAAATAAAACGCGAAACACATATTAGACTTTTTACAGCTTTTCCTTAGAAAAATTCGCACGCTTTTACAATAAACCGAGCAAGAACAAAAAGAAATCTCAGCATTATTAAGATATACATCAAAGCTTCATGCACTTGTTACGAGGAATTTGACAAATTGTGCGTCTCGCTAGTCATTAAATGTGCACGTGTCACTCAAATTTCACTCGTAATGTAAGTCATTATGGTCTTTGATGAAATAATAACTGTATATATATATTTTGCTGACGGGACATTGTTGAACAACGCAGCGTGCTTTTGCTGATGTGACCTATTTCGTGTGCTCATTAAAATTTGTGAGACTAATCTGTACAGCGGTCATCACCAGCCAATTAACATCCCCACTGCTGGGGCTCAGGCCTTGCCTATCGATAGAATCGAATAGGCAGAATGGGCCATGACGCACCACGCGATTCCAGTCCGGATTTGTGAGTATTAACGACTGCAGATGCAGCTGGAACCAATGGAATGTTCCTTGAGGAGCTAGTGATGATAATTTTTTGATCACCCATCGTATAACCGGCCTTTGCGAAAGTTGCTTAACTACAATGAGCACGCTAGCCACTGCGTTTTGATCTCTTTAGCAGTGCTTTTTTGTAATTAAATCAGTGTCGAACTTTACGTCTAGCACAGCAATATCACAGCATGGAGGTTTAAACAAATAAAATCTACTTCTAAAGATAAAAACAGTTTTATTTTATTGAAAGTGTGGCGCGTCAGGGCTGTGCTCGTTGCTAAGTTCGAAGCTGTTGTTTACACAATAGCCAATCTAGTGAGTGGACGTTCATATTTTCTTAAAAAACAATTTTAAAATTCGTTTCTTTCGCCTCCTTCGGCACGATCGATGAGGATTGATGTGGATTTACTCTAATTCCGAAGATAGATTCTCGGAGTTTGTCTTTTTAGCCCAAACGAAACTATTAAAATATAACCTTTGAAACAAAAACCCAAGCATAAAAAAAGAATGGAGTCTGAATTACTAAAGGATATATTTTGTATACAAGTATATTAATTGATATAATAGTTGTTTGGTAAATCAGTAAAATCAATCCAGTAGTTGCAGTGCCCTATTAAATGCAAACAAAAAATAAAAACAATCAAATCTTTCTTTTCCATATTAGTGAATTTATTGATTAGTATGTTATTAATTAGATAACAGCTATTTTACGTTATGCTGTTACTTATGATGTAAATGAATGAATGAATGAATTATTTATTCCGGTACAAGCATGAGACAAATAAAATACAGTTTTAGGATACAAAATACAATAATAAAAAAAATAATAAAGTTAAAAAAAAAATACAATAACTTATATGCAATTGCGTCTCACGAATGCACCAAAAATAGGTTATTTATAAAAATAGGTTATAAATATTTAGTTGTTAGCTAAATCTTCATCGACAACTTTACTGTAAAAAGAAATTGTAAATATTTGTGCTTGCCGTGGTGTAACCGTTTTAGCAAATAACATATAAATTCGGTCATCGCTTCTAATAAAACATTGCACGTATCGGACCGTTCGTGACATTTCAAATTCTTGCTTCGATTTGTATTTTTGTTCGGTTTGAGGTCAAAGAGACTGGTTTTTAGGAATACATTATTTTGTTATAGATAAAAAAACGGAGGCACACTTTGAACAAGTCAGTGAAGCAATACATTCTTCACAGTCTTTTCAATTTAAGCCTGTGTCACTATTTTCATTCGTTTTCATTGTCAACAGATGACGCTAGGTTCTAATTTGATATTTTATTTAATGGAATTACATTAAAGTTTCATATGCATTAAATGATGTTTTGCGGTAATAATACAATAATAATACACTTATACAAATGTGGGAATAGAAATATTTTTGGTCTGTTAATTTGTTTATCTCAATACTCAAAATATACTTATTCGATTTAAAAATATATATATTATTTTGAATTTCACCAAAAAACATTCTACAAACTACATTCCCCATGCATTCCTCATTCAGCATAAAGATATAAAAAGATCAAAAAGTATATATGTTAAATTTATTAACTGTTCCGCAACTTCGCCAGCGTAAATTACATCATATGTCACCCGCATATGATTTAGCTTCCCATATAAGAATTAACTTTAAAATCATCCAGCAGTTTCGGATATTCAATGCACATAAACAATCAAATCTTATCTTATTATTAAGTTATTATAAAGAAGGCAGCAAGAAGTTTACGAAGTCAGCTAAGTACAGTTTAGTGGCTAAACTGTACTTAAACAGGTTTTCGTTTCTGATTTTAGTTTTTTTTAATGATCAATTAATAACAGTTTAATAAAAGTCGACAACTCATGAATTTTCATTGTTCAGATTACGTCTGAATGAAGTTAAAAGTTGCATCAATTTAGTAAGTATCTAACTGTTTCCTATGGGCTCTCGCATGTCGAAGATTGACGGTCGGCCCTAATAATAGAGGCGGCCTCGGTGCGATATCAATCGCTAACTGTTCTTTGATTGAACTATCCTACTCTCTCAGTCCATAGCTAATTATTACTGATTCGCTATTATGCTTACTCTTCAATTGAATTCCATTTGTCGTATATCTAGGTCGATTTCTGTATCTTTAGATGATAGCTGTTTGATAACACGGAAGCTTGAATTAATAATTTTCTTGAATAAGGATAAAGGTCTTATAAATCTCAGTTGTGATGTAGTAATATTTTTTTACAAATAGCAGATACTCCCTAAAGTTCACGGCATCTGATGTGATGATTTCGCAAGCTCGTACTGAACGGTGAATGCGTTCGCGAACTTATTTGCGCTGTAGCTCTATTCGTTCCAGATCCTACTTTATTAAATGACACAATCACGAAGTCAGCACACGACTCGCCTCTCCATCAAAGATAAACATTCACTCTAAGATCATGAAGCGCATTATGCTCGTCTATTACCTACGTACCATATGGTCGGACTGAATGCGTAGCTATTTCAAGTCATTTACAATGATGTAAAGCCAGTAGAAAACAATGTTCATTGTTCCTTTATTTTAAAGTTTATAAGCTAATTAACATAATAAAATACTTAGGATCCCTCAGGTACTAAAGCGAACGAATGTACTGGATATATGTCTTCGGGGAAACCGGCTTGTATTGACGTCTTGAGAATTTTCAGTTTTGCTGCACCGAAAATTTTATGTAAAATTTCCAGTGGACGAGTTACAGATGAATCGTCGTCGTCATATTCAATTTCTTCACTCGTCGATATGTTCTCTTTGACAACAATTACACCGTTCTTTGATAAAGCGTCAGTGCATCTCTCTAAGAATGCGATCAAATCGTAATCTTTCAGGTGACCGAGCACCCATTGGCACCAGATGACGTCGTAAGTTTTTTGCGGCTTGAAATGCTGGAGTCCGATTTTGTACACCGTTCCGAGTTTATTGTTGTCTTTGCCGATCAATTGTTTTGCGGTGTTAACGAACTTCTCGTCTTGTTCAACCATGTCGACCTTCTGGAAGCGTGGGATCAGTAGAGTTTTTGTGATGCGACCAATACCTGCGCCGCAATCGAGTGCGATGTTTCTCGCTGGCGATTTGTCGAGAGCTAAAATGTTGTCTAAGAATTCTCTAGAACCTTTAATATCTATGTCGGAGATGTAGCCATACCCACCGAGAACTCCGTCCACTGTTGCCGGGATATCGGCCCAGTATTTTTGGGCACTTTTGTAAAAATTACTTTCGGTCATTGTATATCTATCTAGCACAAATATAAATATAGTTTCCCTAAAAGTGATGTTGATTATTTATTAATAAAATTGATTTTTTGACAATCACTTTTGTGACACTTATACAGTCAACTTTTAATACGTAATGTTTCTATTCTCTTTGGCTGGACGTTAGACTACCATAATATATCTAATTTCTGCTTTTGATTTAAATTCTACAAACATTAAAGTTTAAAATTCAAGACTAAAGAAATTTGATAGATATGTATAACTTGGCGTGCAGATGACCGTACGTTGCACTAGGTTTTGCTTTTGTCATAGATTTATGATTTATGATACTATTGTGTTGCGAGCTATGGTTGCGAGTTTTTGTTTGATTTAAAGAAATTAACTGATCTTTTTGCAACAATTCGAGTCTGATCTTTTTAATATTTTTTTTTTATTAAAGTTAAATATTTTTTAAGTTTACAGTGGGATCAATAAATTAAACATAAGGGGGCGTAAAACCAAAAGTTTCATCGTGTATACCATTGCCGCAATATTGCCTGCAATAAAATGGATAGGAACAGAGGATGGCTAATACCGCAGACAAAAAGATTTTTAATTAATCACTCGAAAATATTAAGTTTATTTTAAAAGCTCTGCATTATTCTGTCGGCTATAAAACGACTCATATATTTACCATTTTTTTTTTCAATAAAAAAGATATAATCACTACAAGAAATAAAAAAATTGACAATTTAATGTGTAAATTTGTCTGTACTGCAGATAGAAACCTTACAAAATACACTGTAGTTTTCTCATGTTGAAATACACCTTATTAAGGAAATATAAATGTTTCAAAACAGTTTAAAGTTAGTGAATGTTTGGGTTTTAATAATAAAATTTTTTCGTATGATTGTTGCAGGCTTTAATAACAGCAGTGAACGAGACGCCAGAGGAGGATATTCGAGATGCTCTGAAAGTGCAGACGGAGCAGCAGCTTGCGTTGGTGCCACGTGGTCCTAAAGTAGTGAGGGACACTGTATGTTTCAATACCACCATTGATACTGATGATACGGTTAGTATTAAATTTTAATAAGATTATCGATGCGAGCGTCTATCTAGCCATGATTATAACGGTAGGATAATATACATCTAAGTATTATTATTAGTTCTGACAAAATGCAACATTTTAAAAGCCATTCACTGGAAAGTAATATATTTACCAAAGCCTTAGCTAGAACGCTTTGTAGTGCCAAATGCGCAAAAAGGGGGCAGTGACCAAAACCAGGTCTTCTGCCTTATATTGTTTTATTTATTTTGATTTTATTTAATAGGAAGAACTACGTGCTTTACGGCCCGATGGAACCATTGTAACGGAGACCCGACACAGAAAGGAGCAAGAAAGACTTTGCGACGAAGAATTAGGGAAGGACGAGGTAAGGGATATCTGTTATATTATATTATAGCCTACTGTCATCCATCTGCGTGTGATGTAGCGAGTAAAACATCCAGAAGCTTAGGAGCTTGTTCAATACAAATAAACAAACAATGACATTTTTACCCTTTTATAAAGAAATAAAATATGTAATTTATGTGCTGAAAAGAAATAAATTAAATAATATCCTTGCGGTAACGCATAAATTTTCTTAACATATTTTTTTTTAATAGAGTCGAAATAACGATTTTAAATCATACGAAGTACTAACTACTTTACATTTTCACGCGCATAACGACATGACTTTTCATGGCGTTTCAGACCCGTATACAGGTTCCGTGTTCAATTTAAAGTAAGACTAACGGGTTAGAAACGTCATGAAAGCAAATATAAATGATGATGTTGAAATTGTTTAACGTAGTTTTATTAATACGAAATATAATTTTTAGGCATTAATTATTGAAAAAAATATACTAATGATTGGGTTGAATATCTAAGCTATTTGAGTTTTGGGTGATAATGTAACTGTTCATTGTTTCAGGCTAAATCTTTACGTAGTGATCAGAGTGTTGTGGAAGAGACAGGAGGTACTGAACGTCGGAAGAGGGTAGACCTCGAGCGTAGCACTGATCTGATGGCGGGCGGTCTCAGGGTTGGTACGCAGCTTCACTCACGATCACGCACTGAAGAAGGTTTGTTGTTTTCTTATTCTTATTGCTTTTTATACTATATTGTCATTTTAAGCGCAAAACGTGGACAATAGGATTCCCGTTTTAACTAAGTCTTCGCTGTCTGTCTGTTTGTCACCAGGCTGTATCTCGTGAACCTTGAAAGTCAGGCAGTTGAAATTTTTACAGATGATGTATTTCTGTTGCCATTATAACTACAAATATAAAAAAAAACAGAATTAAATAAATAGTTAAGGCGCAATAATAAGAAGTGGCCATAAGTTAAGGGGGAATACAACTAACGTGGTTTTTGCTCGTTTCCGATACGGAACCCTTCGTGCGCGAGTCCGCCTCGCACATGGCAGGATTTTTTAGATTATTGATGTTTTTCCTAGATTTTGCTATAACATAAATAAATTTTCATATAACATAGCAATGTAGAAGGCACGGTTATGTTTTAAAAGGTGTTGGAATTAAAGGTGTTGTTGGACTTACATTTATTAAGTCATTATTTATTTAAGCAAGTAGGTAGAAAATATTTTTTTCCTATTTGTCAAAATTAAAATATGGTTAACTTTTTATGTGACTGATGATTATAGATTAAAGTATTCTTAAAATTAGAATCATTAAAATGTTGCGTTTAAAACATATTAGGATATTATCGCCATATATTGCTGAGTAAATAATAACTTGGCTATTATAAAAAAAAAATCTCCAATATTGCCTTTTCAACTCAAATATCTTTTTCTTATTGATAATAATATGTTAACAGAAAATCCCAGCGGCTATAACAGTAGAATAAGAGAAATAAATTTATTATTTTATGATGGGAAATTCTAATGAGCCTTCTACATAGATAAAATAAGATTATTTTGTTTTGTCTATAGTTGAGAAAGAAGGACAACCAAACATGGATGACGATTGGGATAGCCTTTCAGTTCGCATGCGACGCCAACGCCGTTTACGACATAGCGGTGAGTAGCGACACTATTTCTATTCGTAGTTTAAAAGCGTAGTGAATAGTTCAATAGTTAGTAGCAGATGGCGCTATATGTAAATTATAACTAAACTATTTAATGCGCTCTAGTATCAATAGATGGCGTGAGCATTACTATTACATATTGTAATAAACTTATATTGGTAAAATTGTTTCACCAACTTGATAAATTTACTTAATTCCTATGTTTCATTCCAAAATAACTTAATTTCAAAAATACACCGGTTTTTAAGTTAAAGATGATACGTAGCACTTAATTATGCAATCACCATGGAACTTGAATGGAATCAAATCAAAAACGAATACCGTGCTAGAGAGAATGGGCCATTGCTCATAACGCACCACGTGGGCACAAACAGGTGCAGCTGGGTGCAACGACTTAATGCGCGTTCCGAAGCACGGAGGAACTCGAGATAATTATTTTTTGTTATACATCCTATGGACGGCCATTGTGAAAGTTGCTAACCACCGTATCGCAGACCAAGCGCGTTAACCACTGCACCATCAAGCGCCTCCTTGTAAAAGGGGCGCTTTAACAAACACATAAAATTATTTAATTTAATCAATACCTAAACATAAGTTATTATACTTTTGGCCTCACCAGTTTTTGATATTAGGTTCCAGCACGTTTTCAGTCATGTTCTACGTTTTGACTTTTTTATTGTTCCTTTATTAAATTAGGTATTAATTATTATTCTGTTATGACTTACCACCGCAGAAAAGAGGATTTACACCTTATTTAGGAATTACTAACATGCGAATAATCGTATTGTTTTTTTTTTTTATAACGAAGATCACACTTCATTCTATTCAAATATTATTATGTAGACGACCTTGAATTCTTCCGCGTTACTATTATGTAATAATCAAAAGTTGCTCCAGAAAGTAAGCCCACATCATTTATACGACTTAAGTATGCGGATATTATACTGTCACAATCACAATATAATAGAGATCATTTGATTGCATTAAACGATTACTTTATCGGATATATTGATATATTTTCTAATATCCAGTGTTTAGAAGATTGGCGTAGGTGGGTGGAACACACCTTTTTGTTTGTTATATGACCTAGATGTCTCCGGGAATAAAAATATCTACTTCTTGATCTGAAGCAGGGTAAAACAAAGTTTACTCCTGTAAAAAAACTCAGATCTAGTAAAAAAAAAACGTTCTACATCGTCCAAGATAAAACTATGAATCTTTGTATTCAGGCACTTCATTAGATTTATGTAAATAAATATTTGTTTTAGAGTTTTTCGAGTGAGTAATTATGACTTCCACGCAGACGGAGTCGCTTTATATTATAGCTAATGAGTATGTCACCTGCTTATGATGCAGGTTCCCGAAGGTGTAATCCTTTTTAAAAATCGGCCCAATAGCTAGAAGTATTTTCAATGCAAATAAACAAACAACAATTAAATTTTTCTTTTTCTTTCAAATATTTTTTTAAAACAAATTTCTACTTTTTTTTCATCTTAGGATGTCACCCTTGATATAGGTACGTAGTTAACTAAAAATATCTACTTACTACTACCTATATAAGTAGTTGCGTTGCGTCTTATATAATTTGTCTGCTCATGTAAAAATTTAAAAATATAGTAACTTCATTATAGAGGAATTGCAATACCTATGATTTGATTTAAAATTTTAAAAGGAATTTTGTTTTCTAAAAATCCGAAACAAGCAAGTTAATCGAATTTACTTTTCGTCTACATTTCAAAATCATCGAAAATATAATCTGAATAAAGATTACCAAACAATTGATATCTCGTTAAATAAATCATTGAACTGTACTTGTATTAGACCTTGTTATTTCGATATGCATGTTATCAATATTGTGTCATAGCATCTGCGGTCAATTTTGATAGAATATCCCAATATGGATATTTTATTTCCAACTTTTTCGCGACTTAACCAGCGTAAATTACAGCATGTAGCATTCGCACAATGATCTAGCTTCCCGTGAGTGAAAGAATATGATCAGTATTCCAAAGCTTAAAAGTTAGAAACTACTTTTAAGCTCTTTCTAATATAACTCTTTCTTATATTAGTATAGATGTACAAAAATTAAGAAAGATGGTGAAGATATCTAATATAACCTCATGTTCAAATATTTAATACAAGCATATAATAGACACAAGAAAAAAAATACTTAAAGGAAAACGAAAAACCCGACTACGTAAATACGAATTTAAAAAAAAACAGGTAAAAATTAACATAAAACAAATCATAAATTTTAATACAGAACAGAACGACTCATAGTCTTGGCCCCTTGGGAAGATTTGGTTGGTAAAATTTGAATGGGCCCCGACTGTGAGTCGTTCTGTTCTGCATTAGAATTTATGATTTGTTTTATGTGTGTATCGATTATAAAACTATTTCAATTGTGTAGTTATTTAGTATTACTTAACAGAATTCTAAACTACTGGGCTTGTTTCTTTCTTTTTAGTTTTTATTTGAGTTCATTTTTTCATGTAATTTTTAAAATTCGTTATTACGCAGTCGGATTTTTTATTTTTCTTTAAATTATTTATTTTTATTTTATATTTTTAGTTACGATTTGTTGACGTCTGGTTATAAGATGGTAAATTTCGCAATCTAGTCATTTCATTCAGGGAGTTAATATCGTTTGTTAAACAACTTTAAATCGTTATATATCCTAAACTATTATTAAAAATGAAAAATGATAAAAGGAACCTATTAACCAGATGATCTTAAAATACCTATTCAACGACACCCCACTTTCATCGATTTTTTTTATATTTTGTCAATATGGCGTCTGGTTGTCGTTGTGGTGAATTTTGATCACTGTCATGTCTTTAGTGACACTCGTAAGGTTAAGACGAATCGATTGACGTAAGAAACAAACAAACATACATACACTGATAAACACGTTACCCTCCTTTGCGTCGCGCAGTCGGGTAAAAAGAATAACAGTAGCACGAATTAAGTCCGTCACTTATTTTTGTATAATTAAAGTGGTTAGATGGCTCTCTGTCATTGGTAAAACGCATTTTCACCTTTGACAATGCTCAAACATTTAGGCGTTAGATTTAGGTGACTCCTAAATTTAGTGAAAACGCAGTAAATCTATTATCTACTATGTAATGGATGCGTGATCTTATATTATTCTATACTATTGACGCAACGATCGAAATTCGATCATGAAGTTTAAACAATATGAAGGTTTTATTATCGTAAATAAAAACTTATTTTAACACATAGTCATGAAAGTGTATGGAGGTGTAAGTAATGTTTTTTTTTTTATTTAGTTAATGTATTTGCAAGTACAATTAAAAATATACTAGAGTTCTGCACTTCTTCTCAGTTATAAATTTTACGCGTGTCAAATTCTAAACTCCTCATAAAGAAGTCCAAGGATTTTACTTCACGTAGTAATGTCATGTGATAAACATTATACATTATACAACCAGTTTTATTATTATTATGCCCTCACCGCTTGGGCACCCTTCCCTATGGATAAAAGCGTAACGAATCGAATGGGTCACGTTCTTGAACTACCACGCATGTAGTGCCAATCGGTGTGCCTTAACAGTAATCCAAATTTACGGATGAGCTAATATAATAAAATTTTTGGTCACCCATCATATAACCGGTCTTTGTGAAAAATGTTTTTGCATCGTAAATCGAACGTAGCATACTAGTGTAGTATTATATATAAAGCCCTTTGTGTAAAATCAATTAAGAATATGTTAACATCTAGTTAATAGCTTCCTTTGTCTGAAGCGTGGAAGCACGCTTATAAATCAACCCACATAAGAAATTAGGATCATTTATGGAAACTTGTAACTATTAGAAGATAATTCATTCATATTATTTTAATTGTTCTAGTTAAAATATCATAAAAATGATCTCTTGCTCAATTGAACATGCCTACGCAATATAATTTTTTTTTATTTTATTTATTAGTTTTTTTTCTAATAGAATCGCTACCTTAAGTGCTTTAACGTCCCTACTGCGGGAGTTAAAGCCTTCTTTACGGATGGTTAAGGAGGATGGACCATAACCCTCCACGCCGGCCCAATGCGGATTGGAAGGTATTAGCGAGTGCAAATGTAGCCGGGACCAACGGCTTAATGTGTCTTCTGAAGTACGGAGTAGCTCGAGGTATACATTTTTTTGGTCACCCATCTCGTGACCGACCCTTGTGACAGTTACTCAACAACAACGAGTGCAGGCCGCAGCGCTTATCCACTACGCCACCGAGCTATTTCATACTCTGCTTACCAAAGGCACGAACTCTCGCATCCTTACTCTACTCGTGTTTCGCCACTCCACGGAACTTCCTCGGTAGTTGTAATTATGGTATAGTTAAAATTGTTCAACCCACAAATTGTTAATTCTAGCCTCAATAACCACCACAACTTAAAAATCACCAATTTTGTAATTTTTCATCATCAAATTTAATTCCTACTTCTCCATTCCTGCAGCCTATAAAGAATATAATAGTGAAGATTATATGTGCACCAGAGGGGTCTTACCTCCGTTGCATCATAAATTAATTATCGGAAAAAAATCATCGCAATACTTATATTAGCGATTCGATAGCGAGAAACATAGTAGCTCTTATATTTCCATCAATGTCAGCCAAATATTCTATTCAGAAAATGTTTTTGTTTATTAGTTTTGATTTTTAATGTTATTTATTTCCATGCAATTAGATTAGACTCTCGATAAAAACCCGACTAGCTCTCATTCCTGACATTCTGGGTCTGCATTGCAGTTGTTGTTGTTGACCCTCTTAAAAACTTTCCATTCAAGGATGACCTTTTTTTTAACGTCGAGCATTAAGGACTACTCCTGCCGCATTCAAGAATGACCTAGAAAATAATGTTATCGAACATGTAAAAGTATGTAATAACAATAAAACCCTAAACAGTCTGTTAATAAATATATAAAACACAATAAGATAAAAAATTTACCTGCTTTTAATCTTGACTTTAGCTAGGTGACTAGGCAAAATCTTAATTATTTTTAATTACAGTCAGTTCACAATGGCGTACTCCATTATCGGCACGAATAACATCTCCAAGGATTTCACTTTCCACAAACGTTTTTATTTGCTCGTCAATTTTATAAATACCAAAGTGGATTTAAGTAGGCAATTTAAACGTACGATGTCCATCTAACCAGAAATGGACAGTCATTGAGCCTACGCGATTCAGAGGTCGCTTGTCGCTTGTCACACATTTGCGATTGTCACGGAATTGACGTTTGCCGCATGATTTAGTATTCTAATAGGCTTTGATTCTTTGTAAACCATTTGTAAGGCATTGGATTAATTTCAATAGATTAGGCGAGAAATTCCCTGACAAATGGTAAATCATAAGTAGTTTAACATTCTAAATAGATATTAATAATGGTAACTGTCAGTTTATGCCAATTTCAATTTATAAAATTAGATGACAAACTTAAATCAACAGCCATTGCAAAATTAAAGCAGAATTTAAGATAAACATTTGCAAGAGCACATCGTAAATTTCTCAATAGGTAAATTTTGTTTCACTTCATTGGTAAAGAGGTAAACACGTTATTTTATTGCATCAATATATCAGTAGTATCGAAGACGTAAATAAATTGTCCATGTTTGACTTCCATCACCATGAATCAGACTAGTTACATAATGCTGTTACGAATAATGTAAAATAGTGACCTAGAAATTGTTATTCTGTTATAATTTGTCTCGCTACTGTCTCACCGCGGTTAAGTAAAGATGTTTCGGGTGTTTGCATCGCATTGACCTTCGATGGTTTAGCAAACTTATTGACTGAACGGTTACGCCATAGCAGGTGTGTGCGCCGCGTCTCGGCACTATACCGCGAGACGCGGCGCGGGCGCCCGCGCTCACTCAACACCCACTCACTACTAACCAAGCTCTCATCTTCCAGATCACGACAAGGACTACACCAAACGTCCACTCGATTTCGACATTGAAGAAGAAACACGAAAGAAGGAAACCTCCAAGTGGCTAGAAAGCCACTTCGGAAGCGATTCACGATCATCGCACGATTCAATAGCTGAAGAAATTGGAAGAAGACAGGAACCCGGCTTTTATGTGAAAAACAAAGCGGAGGACGAAGGCTATTACGGCAAAACTTCATCGTCAGTTCCACCTCCGCCAGTGTATGGAGATCGGGTTCTAAGAAAAACCAAATCGTCGACTCCTTCAGACGAACGAGCACCCGCTCCAGCTAATAGAACTGGAGGATATTTTAAAGGAGTTGCAGACTGGTCTCAGCGACGACCCACAAAGCCCAGAATGCCGGAGCCACGAAGCTCTTCGCCTTCACCACCGACAGTGCGTTCGCCATATGCTAGTGATGATCGTTTAAATGGATCCTCCCCTAGACATGTATACGGGAAGCGCGATTCACCTCAAGGAAGGTCATCGCCAATAGGTCGACGTCATCCGCCTTCGCGCGACGACTCTGCTTACGTATCTTCATCGACAATGCACAGTCCACCACGTGGTTCTCCTTTCCGGCCATTGGAAACCGACCGATCATTTCGCGAGCCATCTGTCGAAGACGATTATCGACCTGTAGCGCCTGAAAGAAAACGACATACAAAGAATAGGTTGTCTGAAGAACACAGATATGATAGTGGTTACAGGAGTTCATCGCGCAATGAGAATTCAGGCCGTTCCAGAGACAGCCGTGAGGAAGGAACAACTGAACCACCGCCCGACTACTCTCCGCCTAGAGAGCGTCGCGGGAGTTCAGATAGGGACCGCACACCACCTCGCCGTCGCGACAGAGATGAACGTAAACAGAATCAAAAGACTCGGTTCGCTGACAACGGGCGTCGTCCGTCGCCTGCTAGAAAATCTGTTGGATCCGCTATCGGTAATTCGATAAGGAAATTGGTTGGAAAGATTCGATCGGCATCTGCAGAGCGTCGTGCACGCTGGCGTAACTCTCGGACACCGTCACCAGAGCACTCGTCGCGCACATATAAACAGTACGGCGGCGAGTTGTCACCGCCGGTTGCGCCCCCGCACCGCTACTACCTCGGGGAGGACCCTTTCGCGCCCAGCATCTACGGGCGCGAGCACAAGTACGAAGGCAGTTCGAGACGTGCCACCGCAACTGACACTCGCGACCACCGTGAACGGTAAGTCGTAATATCATTGTTATGGTAAACTCGATGCGACATACCTGTTCAATTATAACGATTAGAGCACAGCATGTCTAGCAGCATATCCTTTTATGTACTTGTTTGGTTGACGGGCTATTAGAATAACGATATCCATTTTGACCATGACTGTAAATGCTTTATAGATTTAGAATATTGATTAAAAATTAAATGGGCCTTAAATAGAAGCTTGTCGTACAACAGTCTCGTGCCGCCGCCTACACGGAGGTTGGAAATATAAGTTTAATGAATACTCCTTGTTTCGTTATTAACATAATGTTACGGCAATATACTAGGGTCTGGCTTTAATAAACTCAAGCTGTGCCAACTCTGATCGTTATGGTTGAATAATAACTTTATTTTTACCAATATTTGATAGAATAAATCTTGGTTTTGTGAAAATATATGGTGCTCTATTTACTATTATATTTTTGAATAACAAGCAGAGGTCCCGAAATTCCATGTTATAATTTTTATATATTTTTTATAATTTATTAAATGTAGCTCAGAACAAAATTGTGGATAATTTATCATGATAGATTCCCTCATACGTCACACCTTTCCATATTGTTTTAATAATGCTTTAGAACGTGTAAATAAATAGTTTACTATAAAAAATTGATATACTATTGTATGTTAGCAGAGATTGACATCATCAAGTTTTTCATAAAATTAGTCTCATATCTTATTAGTTATATTTAGGTTTCTAAATTATTTTCATATTTTCTTAGTAGTATAAATTAATTTGGTTATTTTCTATTTGTTGGCAGACCAATTATTATAAAATACCTACATTAGCAATAATTTCGCAATATTTACTTTAGGTAGTTAGTTTATTAGATTTTTCATCAACATTATTAGACCAGTAAAAGAATTTTCACTAACTGACATCCAGAAAGAGCATAGAAATACCAAATGACGAAAATTGAATAATAAATAAGATCAAAGACAAAAAGGATGGAGAAACATTTAGGTACAATGCAAACCACTCTACAACGGAGGTTGTTTTTTTTTTAATATTTTTATACGGTCAGTTGCACAAACTTGCATTAAGGTTTGATGACGCCTTCATGGTCTAATGAATGTCAAATTTGTATCGGTAATGTCACTTTGATTTAATGGTAATTTTAATGGACGTTTGTGCAATTGGCTGATAGAGTTATTTTTATCTATTGGTTCAAAAAATAAGCTCAAGTGTAAAGTCAATAAAATCTAAGACCCACATTTTAATAATATATCTATTTCACCTAATAAAAAAACGCTTACTTTCAAATATTCAACATAGTAAAGAAGTATTAATTTTATAAAGAACTATCGTAACATTGACCAAGTTGAGTTTATGTTAATTGAATTGCTTACCAAATATAGAAATGAGTTAATATTTAAATTTGATAAAAATCTTAGCTTTGGAAAGTGAAAATTGTTTCGATATATATGTGAAGTTTCTAAATCATAAAAATCGCTCCTAATGGCCTTTAGTAGACGCTCCTAATTTATTTCCCATTTAAAACCTAAATTGAAAGTTTATTACTTTAGAATTACTTTATGTGAATTTTCTTTGAAGTTCGAAGCATTTGAAATTACATTTTTTCATTAACTTTCAAGTGAAAATCACTGCTTGGTATATATAATATATACTTATATGTAAAATAATTTGGTAATAATACTCGTAACACGAAATAACTCTAGTAAACCTTGCGATTTTCGTTTACAATCATGTTGAATGTCAGTTGTAACCACGTAATGCATATGTCACATCAATCATGCAGCACGTTCCGGCATATCTTGCCTTTCAGATTCGTTAACGTCCATGGGATCACCATAACGGGTATATAAATATTTTTCTCCCACAATGAAGCCCTTATTTAGTGTGAGACTTTACTGACTCATGTTTGCTCAGTTAGCCGCTATACAACAAGTATCTGTTCTTAATGACTCAATGTTTGGAAATGTGAGCACAACAGGTGCTATTTGTTGTGTTGACTGTTCGGCTAAAATTCAAATAAGCATGCTATAATTATTTCTGTTGACAAATACGGAGCGACACGACGTTTCTTGCCAGGTTTTGCGCAGTCTTAGCTAATTAATTGCCACCCACGTGATATATTTTTACAATTACAAGAAGTGCGACACGATTCGATTCGCTTCGTTGAATTGTCTCGGTTTAAAGTCAGTCGTACATACCAGTTTAATATAAGTAAACAAAGCACGTAGTTACGTGTGTGGGATGAGATTCACCATTGAAACCAATTACTATAAGACATGATTACAAGTTTTTTTGATACTTCTACCGATAACAATAAGCGTATGTGGGCTCAGCTCATTTTCCGTCAAGAAAACATAATGAAATATGAATACCTTTGTACAATTATGTTTTTTTGCGTTCCAGGGGCCAGTTCTCGAGCACTTTGGGACGATTTAGTCACTCGACAAGTCGGTTGAATCCAAACAGCGAACCTGAAGAAGATTTCGTACGTAGTGCACAGACTCTGCCGCGCAAATTGCACGAACGCAAAGAAAAACCCATCGAGAAACCGAGCTCTAACAAATATTGGCACCGTTTGACACCAAACAAACGATCAAACAGTGCTGTTAATATATCAAATAACATTTCCGCATCACCAGACGGTAAAATAAACGGATATCCACCTGGGCCTGCTAAACCGGCGCGAACGTTTAAGGCTCTCAACAGGAGCAAGAGTTTTGCTATGGGAGCACCCGAACAAGAAACCCACGCACGTTACGTATCAGGCATGAACCGAAACTATTCCACAATGTACAAGTCCAACCCTCATTTGAGTCGACTTGACGAAACTCCTGAGCAATTAAAGAGTCCAGGTATTGTATCTATAATTAACCGTAGCCAACGCGACCTAGCTGATGCTGTTTCTAGAGAAACTGAACGCAGACGAGATGGTGTCTTCGGCGCCAGGTATGGTAAAACGACACCATTGTCGAATGGACATAGCAATGGATATAAAACACACGATGAGGCTGATAAAAAGAAAATATTCCTAAAAGGACTGCGTGAGCGGGCTCCCGAATTGTATCAAACTTTACATGCAGACGATGAATCCGATGGCAGTAGGCTCTCATCAAGATACGGTTCACCTTCCCCTCTTTACAAAGATCGCATATCTGAAGAACGCAAAATACCATTGTATAAATCAGACTCTCTGAATAGGGAATCCAGTCCATTTGTATCGCGTTTGGAAACAAGGCTCAAGTCTCCAGCTATAAGACGTGGAAGCAACAGCAGCGATAACTATTCAGAAACATATAGGTACCAAACACGTTCTGGTGACCCCGAAAGACCCAGCATTACTGATACAGTAGAAACGATCAGTAAAAAAGTATTACCTTCCAGAGATGGTCGTTCCAAAGAAATAATTGAGTCTAGGGAAGTCAATTCGGTTACTAAGAGCAGGGGCTATAAAGGAGAACCAATGGCGAATATGAAATATATTGAAAACGGTGTGCGTTCGTCACCTTTGGGATATGAAACAAAAAATGGATCCATGCCATTATACTCCGAAAGAAGAAGTAGTAATTATAAAGTAATGGAGAAAATTAGAGATTATTAAAAAGTTTTTAATTATGATAACTTTGATCAATGTAAAATGTATTATGCCATATTTTGTATTAGAACGTACGTATTAAACGAAGAAACAAAGTCATTTTGCAGACTGAGTCGTATGCTTTAGATATTAAGTTATCTAATAAATTGGAATTACAGAGAATAACAATTGTTAATCTTGTGTAAGCTGCTTTTTGTTATTATGTAAAAAGTCATAGCTTTACTAATTTTATTCTAATGTGAGTATAATCCGTCCATTGTAATATTTGTAACTGTATTTTACATTACTTCTATTGACAGACTTTTTATATGTGAATAGGAAAATAATTATTTTTATTAGATTGGATTGTAATATTTTAAAATATTAATAATGTAACGTTATAAGATTTTATAATGAATGTATCAATTAAAATTATAATGTGTTAATACGCACTAAAATATGTTTTTTTTATTAATCCAAATAATCTAAGTTTAATATTCATTTGAATATGTAAATTATTGACTCCATGGTAAGCACATGCCCTTATTAGTAGGCACACCCCTAAAAAGAAGGAGGGGAAAAACCTATGGGTTCAATATGAACATTACATTTCAAATGTAACAAAATTATCAATTCATTGTTATCAGAGATTATTCAAATAGTCCTGGAGCCAGGTGTTTTTCTTCCCAGTTATTATAATTCATAAAATGCTCAAGATATTTTAATTATGAAATCTAGTGTATATCAGCTGTGAATATGTAAGTGGATTGAGAAGCAACACCCTTTAACAAAGTGCCCGGCATGAAGTAAACCAAAGCTGCAGAGTCATATGTAGATTAAATATTATATAATCACTTTCATATTTAAGATTTAATATTTAAGAAACTTATCAAAGAAACTTATCATTGATAAGTTTCTTAAATATTAAACCTTTACAATAAATACTAATTTTTAAGCTTTAGGCTTAATTGAAGTGTATTTCCATATTGTCAGTTTCTGCGTACTTTTATGTCAGATACTGTAGAAAAAAATAAATATATATTCCATATTATAGTCACATACTCGCGAGTTTTAAATATTAAATACGTGACAACGTTTTTGTAGTCAGTCAATGTTAATAAATATCTAATTTAACTGGCTAGTATAGAAAACTTTTTATTACGTTTACCTCTATATACGAGTTGAAAATCTAGACACTAATACACAATTTCTTGGACAATGCCAATGGTGATCCAGTGGTATACTGTAGATAGCGAAGATTGATTGAATAATTTAGTTATAATTCTGGACACCGGAACCGTTCTTTTTTTTATTATATATCTATTTTAATTTTCTGCTCGTCTTCTATTTTGTGTAACTTACGTTAAACTTAATTATTTCTTTTATAAATACCACAGGTTGTTAAAAATTTAAGTTAAATGTTAGGTAAGTTAATGGTTTAAAAATGCATTGCGATTTAGTTAGTCTAGGCTGTTATAAGCAGTTGTGAAAATTTAAAGTTATGCAATATCGCAAATCTGCAGCGGAAAATCATCTACTAAAAAGAACTGAGGAGAAATTCAGGAAGAGCTGCTTTTTAGGGTTTCGTACTTAAAGAGTTTAACCCTTTATTATACTATACCTTTATTATAGCTTATACTATATTGAATATGCATATGTTGGTGTTATATGTGTATATATACATGTGTGGGTGTGTGTGTGTGTGTGTGTGTGTGTGTATGTATACTTATGCACATATAATATATAGTAAGTAAGTAAGTAAGCATGTGTGTGTGTGTGTGTGTGTGTGTGTGTGTGTGTGTGTGTGTGTACAGATATATAAATATGCTTCTATGTTTCTTATATAATAGTGAGACACCCTAGGCGTCAGCTGAAAATCGACGCTGTAGTCATCTGCGGCTTATGTCGAGCTGGAGCCTATTGGACACACCACCCTGGAGGGCCCTAGTACTATATGAAACTGTATCTAACAAATTGTTTTCATTCCTGTGCTCTTTTGATGTTATATTGTTATAATGGTGTGTTCAATAAATCATTCATTCATTCATTCATTCTTTAAGTACGTGAATCTATTACTATGATGTGAGAGTCCGACTTGCACTTAGCTTGTTTGTTCTCCTTGTTTTATTTCATTCTGTGAAATCCAAAATGAGTTCATGAGATTGTGAAGTGAATTTCCATTACAAAATAAAAATAACAAAACAGTTTTTTTTCTAATAACCAATTAATACACTGACACGGCATGTCATAATTAAAACCCATTATTTGGAGGCGCAATTTGTGAGCTGGTCATTTTTAGAGATGAGTACACAAATATTTATGATATAAACAGTTACATAGTTTTATTACGATTATTATTAATATCTATTTTAATTTTATTCTAAAAACGTTCAGCTACCAGATTGCACCTGCGATTTCGGGGTCTATTCATAATACTGATTGACAAGTGCAGGCCTTTCATCGTCATCGTTCAAACCGTATCTCATAAAGTTATCACAGTAAAATGTTAGCATCACATCTCATAAAGTTATTCGAAGTATCATGTTTGTAGGTTTAAATTATGTCGATAGCTTATATTCTAACGAGACATATTCATCGAGATAGATTATAAATTGACAATAGTTACAATTTTAAGATGCCAACACCTGATTTATCTGGTATTCGAGTACTTTATATTAATTAAGTAAGAATTCCTCCGGTGATTCTATAGACTCAGCATTGACAATAATGGAAGGTTTCATGCAACGAGTTCTTATTCGATTCAATCGGCTCTTTCGAATTTTATTTTACACTACCCTTGGAATAAGATAAATGTAGCACGATATAGGTATGACTAAATTGCACACCTGCAGAAAATACATATATTGTGTGCCACACCGCTTTAATAATTGGTCAAGATACGAGCACCTTTATTAAATAATAAATTTAAGATACTTTATGACTGTAACGATAAGAAGTTTGTGATTTAGAAGTTGATTAAAAAAAATAATTGTAAATATGTTCCGTGAAGTGTTTGGTTTTTGCGTTTTACTTAGTTTTTGCAATGCGGCGAACATTCTATATTTAATTACTTACATCGGGAAGTCTCAGTACATAATGTTGAAACCCATAGGGCTGGAGCTAGCTCGTAGAGGTCACAATGTAACAGTTATAACAGTATTTAAAGAGCATGACCCGCCGCCGAATTATCATCAAGTTGTAGTCGATGAAAACATTTTTGACGCTATGGGTAAGTTTTGGATTACTTATTTTCCATTGACGTAAACATCTGACAGGTTATTGATATAAATTAAGTTGTTTATATCTGTCTATACCCTTTTCCTCTCATTAATAATCTGTGAGTAGCTCGGTGGCGTAGTGGATAAGCGCCGCGGCCCGCGATCGTAGTCGTTAAGCAATTTTCGCTAGGGTCGGTCACGGGATGGGTGACCAAAAAATTATTATCTCGAGCTACTCCGTGCTTCGGAAGGCACGTTAAGCCGTTGGTCCCGGGTGCATTTGCAGTCGTTAATACCCTCCAATCCGCATTGGGCCAGCGTGGAGGGTCATGGCCCATCCTCCTTAACCATCCATAAGGAAGGCCTGAGCCCCTGCAGTGGGGACGTAAAAGGGCTGGTGATGTGAATAAGGAGTTATTGGAGAAAAGTTTATTATTTACTGTTAGTTGGACCTGATAGTTAATAAAGAGGGGATAAATTTTAAAATTCATATTTGTGAGATTGATCATTTTGGGGAGTAGTCGTTCGATAATAAGTTAAAATGCAAAGAATACGTCTAGAAGTAGTAGCTTTAAATTCTAATTATTTATTAGACGCCTGGGGGATTATGGAAACAGAAAATTTTAAAAGCCATAGTTTGGACGGTTGAGTTCAAAATACATTGCAAGCCCTATTGATTAATTATGTTAATGTGTGGGCTATTTTAAGAATACATTTATGAACTATACAAAATTATAATTCAGCGAGATGATGCTTACTTTCTAAAAACCGTTTAGTTGAAATCTTTAAAAAAACTTAAGATACCTTCACACTTTACATATAAACATCCTGATACTTACATTTTTTATACTATGATACTTCATTCAGACGTAACGTAAAAACGTAAATAAATAGAATGTAACGATATAACAAATAACATAAGTTTATATCTTATAATACTATGCCATGTATGCATGTCATGCCATCATTAATATAAATATAAGGGATTATAATTATTTTAAAAACCCCTATTCTAGGTGGAAAACGACCGAGCCATTTTACATCCGTAGATTTATCGGCAGAAGAAAGACACAACCGCTTCCTATGGAATGGGGGTTTAACTCTTATTGAAATCGTACTTAATTCAACTCAAGTGAAACAATTTTTACATGCCGATCACAACTTCGACGTAGTCATAAGTGAGCAGTTTTTCCAAGAAGCGATGTATATTTTAGCACACAAGTATAATGCTCCATTGGTTTTGATAACCTCGTATGGGAACTGTATGAGGCACAATATCGCCACACGGAATCCTCTTCAGTTGGCAACTGTCATGTCAGAGTTCTTAGTTGTTGAGCAACCAAAGAGTTTCTTTGGTAGACTGAGGAATTTCTACTTTACCGTGTACGAATACGTGTGGTGGAGGTTTTGGTATTTAGAGAAAATGGACAAATTGGCCAGGGAATATGTTCCAGATCTAAAAGAACCTGTGCCAAGTTTGTATCAGTTGCAAGAGAATGTCTCTTTGTTTTTAATCAACAGTCACTTTAGTGTTGACCCACCCACTGCTTACTTACCAAATATTGTCGAAATCGGGGGAGTGCACTTGTCTCCAAACATATCTAGGCTTCCTAAAGTAAGTATCTTTCTTAATAAGTTCAACCAACATATTTAAACAATAACAGACATGTTAAAGTACCGGTTAAGAAAATAATAATGAGATATCATTTGGCAATGGTTATATGACGACTTAACGTTGACTTTAAACTGTAACCGCCTAAGTTTCGCTGGTTAACGTTATTGTTTTAGTATATGCCAATAAAAAGGATGGTGCAACGCATTCCACTGTCAACGTTAAAGTTCGCGTGACAAATATTGTTAAATTAGACGTAAACGTTAAAGACTAAGTCTCGGTACATTAACATGTTTGTTATTATTAAAGTAAGTTGGTGCAGCCAACCTTTATTGTTCTGTGATTTTAATTAATTTATCCGACGTTTTATCAAATGTTCTGTATGATGGAGTATGAATTTAATTACAGGATCTTCAAAAGTTACTTGACGACTCAAAAGATGGTGTAATTTACATGACTTTTGGTTCGAATATACAAAGTTCGAAGCTACCAATGGACAAAAGGAACGCTTTCTTGAATGTCTTCAGAAAGCTAAAACTAACTGTTGTATGGAAGTGGGAAGACGAACATTTAGAAAATAAACCAGATAATGTGGTTTTACGAAAATGGTTACCGCAAAATGAAGTATTAGGTAAGCAGTGTTAGTGAAGTAGTAGATAGGGTTAAAAAGTGATTTTATTTTTATATTGAGTTCCACATTTAACGTTGGCAGATATGAAATCTTAAGATCATCATCATCATCACCAGCCCTTTTACATCCCTACTACAGGGGCTCAGGCCTTCCTTATGGATGGTAATCTTAAGATGCCAACTAATAATCCTGGTGATTTCATGACAGCACAAGTTGAAGCGATTGAAGAAACCCATTTGGAAAGCACACTGTATATGTGTGTTGTCTATAAGATATTCTATTACAATGTTTCGTTTGCATACACAGTCTTTTTATATTTATCTTAAAGTCAACAGCATGTTTGTTTATACAAAACTCTTTTTCTATACACATAGTCTATTTATTTATTTCTTTAAAGTCAACAGTACGACTGATTATTCAAAACTGTAAAAAAATTTCAATTGCATTTTAATTGAATATTATTAATAAGAATAACTTTTGATAATAATATCTAGTATTAAACATAAAATTATGAATAATCCAAATAGTAAATAATAAATAATGATTATTTCCAACATCAGATTAAGATAATCGCTAAATTTACAATTTTAGTTACAAAAAACATAATTTAGAATTTTTGGACAGTTTTACATTACTGAGAATTAACATTGACACGAATATAAACGGGAAAAGCCATTTAAAAAAAGGATCTAGCAAATCGACGAGTTTTATTTACGCATTCAAAAAGATCCACTGATTTGGAAAGAGAACTTTAATATTACTTTCTTATGCACATTCTCGAATAAATTATGGAATAATTCTGTGGGGCATTACAAAAAAAAAATCAGAATATTAAATTATGTCGATGCTATGAAAAGCTGTAGGTAACATTTCTCAGAAGATTTTAACTGTCAATATATTTTTGAAAACTGCAACTTTGTAAAAAACCCACCCAAAACTAGTTCCTCAACAAAAAAAAAATAATAAAACATTACTACAGCACTAATTTAAATTTTAAGATTCAAAACTTACTTAGTGCCACCAAAGTCCAATCTCACTATTCTCGTCCCTATGTTCGTGCAATAAAAGTATATAATAAAGTGCCTGTCTTTATAAAGAACGAACCAAACATTAAAAAAAATCAAGTCCATACTAAAACAATATTTGTTATATGCAAGAGTTTTTCGAAGAAACAAAGTTTAAAACAAAGTCTACAATTTCCATTTATTCTGTTACTTTGATTGTATTTTAATTTTATATCTAATATTGCTATGTAACTTGCTGCGCCTACCATGGTTCATGTATGAAAACATAAATTTAAACTGATTACCTATGTAAAACAACATGAACGCAATAGAGTTGAAATTAATTGATCTAATTTCACAACAAGTTTTAAACATCTAAACAGTATAATGGAATCAAAAAGTTCTGTTATATAAAAAAACAACAAAATAGACATCGTAGTTGTTCCGTAGATTTTAAAATAACACGAATAAACCTTCCTTAAGGATGGTTAAAGAGGATGAGCTGCTATAACAACTGCAAATACAGATGGCCTTCCAAAGCACGAAGTAGCTCGAGATAATATTTTTTTGGTCACCCATCCCGTGACCGATCTTTGCGAAAGTTACTTAACAACAACAATAGCAGGCCGCCGCACTTTCATTGAAATTTAATGAAATTATATTTTTCAGCTCATCCAAATATCAAAGTGTTCATATCACACGGAGGATTGATCGGAGTACAAGAGGCTATATATCATGGCGTCCCCATAATCGGTGTACCAATATACGGTGACCAATATAACAACTTATTACAAATGCAGGAGGCAGGTGTGGCAAAAATATTACAATTCCACGACATAAACGAACAAAGCTTAGAGACATTACTCAATGAAATCCTTAAAGATGTTTCATATAAGAACAGGGCGAAGAAAATTTCTAGAAGATTCAAAGATCGTCCTATGAATCCTTTGGATACTGCAATTTACTGGATAGAATACATAATAAGAAATAAAGGTGCTAATTATATGAAAAATCCAGGACTGGAATTAAGTTGGATCGCATATAATATGTTAGATGTATACGCGTTTTTCGTTCTGTTATTATTATTATTTATTTATTTATTTAATAAAATATTAAGCGCTGTAAAAAGTCTAATTACAAATAAAAGGGTAGTAGAAATAAGAAATGGTAAAATGAAGGACAATTAAATGTAATTATTATATTATAAACTAGTCACTATCTTTAATTATATAGTCATAATCAGTTTTATTTATACCTGAATAGTATTTATATCTTTTCTTATCTGTTTTCTATTTCAATCTTATTGTTGACGCGGATATTCTTTTTATTCTAAGTTACATGTTAGTATCAAATAATAGGTAATTGACATGATTTCTAAAGCAAATAATAAATAATTTATTACTGAACTAAGTTTTTCTTAAAATAATATTACCCATTAAAATTCACTTGGTCATTGAACGTGAACTTACAAAACCAGTTAAAAAGTTGTAAAGAAAATCTTTTGGCTGTTTGGGTGAATTGCCTGAACATTGATGAAAATACGCTCTGTAGCAACGAAAAAGTAACAAGTGCTTGAAAGATTCGTTAGTCCTATTAGGTCCCGGGTGGCTAAAGGTAACGATACCAAATATAAAAATTACCTGCGGGTTAGTGCATTAGGAGAAACAGCACATGAGAACTTTCGGACAGACAAGTGGTCATATATTGTAAAAAGTCGCTAGATTGCAATCTATCTTGCAAGATTGTAAACTACCGAAAACTTGTGATGGAAAAATCTGAATTCAAATAATTATAACGCATTAGTTGTTTCCCACGACTTCGCCCTCGTTGCGCCCGTGCCCACGCACAGAAACAAGCCGAAACAAGAAACAAAACAAGTTTTTTCGAAACTTATTCAATGCAAATAATTGCAGCTTTAAAATAAACACACAATCAATTCTTTATTTTGTCAATTCAAATTATAAGCATTATTTCAATGTATCACAATATTCCGGTAGCAATATAGCGAGATAAATGTAGTTCTTACAATTTTACGGCATAAATGGCAATAACTCTTGTATAAATTGCAATAGTCCCAGAGTCGGACAAGGACAGATGAAGGGGTATTGAGAGAAATAGGTCAAATAGTAGTAATTGTTATTTACTCGTAAACCGTTACGATTATCGTAAAATTTCTTAACCTCACTCTTTGGCTATATAGTGACTCTTATATATGACCTCAACCTAGTTCTGGATTGAGGAAGGGAAGGTAAGTCAAAGATCTGGCTATCAATTACAATTACTGAACGAAAAACACGTGTCCTGCACACGCAGCATGACGAACTCGAGAACGTTTTGTTTTCACCCAAATACCCATACACTTACATCTTACTCGAGAGCGACTACACTAGACGTCACTATTCTCGGTTCTCGACCTGACAGGCCGGACAGACGCACGCCGAGAAGCCCCGAGAACACCCGAGACTTGAGACCCGAGTGATATGTTTCTCGCCTTCTCATTCCGTTATATTTTTTCATACCAAGAAGGCTCTGTGAGTGGGTGAGTCTGTACCGCCTATCACCTTAGACAGCACGGTTCTCGAGTTTGTTATGCTATGCAAGCAGGGGGTGATAGTCTTCTCATGTTTCTGTGCACCTAGGTACACTCAATTTGAATTACGGAAACAAATTCAATAAATCGTGAATTTTATGAGATTCTTTTTTTGTGTTTATTTTTATCGTAAAAATTTATAAATATTACGAATATATTTTTACGCTACCCTCTATTTAGTTTAATAAAGTTTTACAATGTTATTACAAAAAAGATAAACACGCGTTGAATACGTGTATAAAAATTGTTCTATTTGAGCATTGGTTAAGGCAAAACAACCCTTAATCATCATCATCATCATCATTTCAGCCGAGAGACGCCCACTGCTGGGCATAGGCCTCCCCCAAAGATCTCCAAAACGATCGGTCCTGCGCTTCCCGCATCCAGCGGCTTCCCGCGACCTTAACCAGATCGTCGGTCCACCTTGTGGGGGGCTGCCAACACTGCGTCTCCCGGTACGCGGTCGCCATTCCAGGACCTTACGTTAAATAACCCTTAAACATTGTTTAAAATTTAAACACATGTCATGTTGACACATGATATGTTGTTTATGGAGTATCTTACCTTTCACAATATTTCACTATAGTTTTGACTTTGATAAGAATTATGTCTTTGAATTTAAATTAAAAATGATAATTTTAGATTAAATATTTTCATTTACAAAAATTATTAACTTGTGTGTTTAAAATATATCTTTTTACGTCTAAAATTTATTATAAGTTTGTATACAGCGTGCATAGAATTGAACGTGTATGAACGAATGAAAGTAGTACGAATGTTTCTTTACTTAGACAATGTTTAAAAAATGAATTTGTAATAGGGAAAATTAGACATCATTTTAAACAGGGTTTATATTCTTAAACACAGTTTAGATAAACATATGGTAAAACACTGACACTTAACGTCTCTTTTGTAATAACACTGTTATTGTTTATTCAAATATAAAACAAAGTGTAAAATTTTGTTTTCATTAATTAATAATATACCTTTTTATATTCTATAATATTTAAATAGAATGCGAATTTACACAAACGACATTATACTCGTATAACCATTAATTATTATAATGTCGTTATTGGTTCTGTCTATAAAAAAGGGTTTGAATTGCAAATGATTAAATGTGATCTGTTATTAATCTTAACAAGTTTGAAATGAGCAAGTCATTGTTTTCGATGTCTGGTAATTGTATAATTGACCAGTAATTTTTTTCAAGTTGTACGATATTGGAATTCGAATTAATTCAAATATACAGAAGTTACGAATAAATTTGTAGACTGATATAATGATAAATAAACAATATACAATTATCATTGAATATTAATAATAATATGTACATCTTCAAAAACAAAATCACAGAATCGTTAAAAGTCTTCTTCATCATCATCATCATCAGCCCTTTTAGGTCCCTCTGTAGGGGCTCAGGCCTTCCTTATGGATGGTTAAGGAGGACGGGCCATGACCCTCCACGCTGGCCCAATGTGGATTGGAGGGTATTAACGACTGCAAATGCAGCCGGGACCAACGGCCAAAGTTGCTTAACGACAACGATCATGGGCCGCGGCGCTTATCCACTACGCCACCGAGCTACTAAAAGTCTTCTTAAACATTTATTATTAATGTTCGTCATAAATTTAGAATTTAATTTTTTACTGTAAGTGGTGTTCAGATTTTTTTCTCCCTTATAAACTTTAATATTTTACATCAGAGAGAAGAAAAAAGATGTCTGGAAAAACATTTCTAGTTTCCGGCAAGTATATTAATAGGACTTTTTCTGTAAAGAGATAACAATATTTTGGTGGCTGACAGATAAGATAAATTATGTCAGTGGTTGCGAGTTTAGTCTATTCAATAGAGATTTCATAAATAAAATCGAAAGAAACAAATTTTACCCAGGAAAGTAGAAATGTTCATGAGGTCTGGTTGTTTTATATCAAAACTAAGTAGCTGTTTTTCTGCGAAATCGCATGCGTAATTATAGTCTAAGTCCCCACGTATTCTGTAGCTTCTCTTAGGTAAAAGCATTTTCTTGATTGGATAAATATTTCCGATGATTACCTACAAATAAACAAATTTATAAACTTTGCCTCTTCATAATATTAGAAGAGATTGCTAAATAACCGGTATAATTATTTTCTTGTTGGGAAGTTTCATAATATATTTAATTAAGCTCATTCATCATTATACGAAAAGAATGCGGCAAATCGCATAGGTACCGTTTATGTGAAGATGATAATTATCGACGCGATGAGGGTATCAAATAACCAGTTATTTTATTGAGACTATACAAAGCAGACGTATTAGAAGGTCGAAAGTGCAGTTAAAATGATAAAAATAAATATTTTTATTCTATTAGCAATGTTCAGTTATAGTGAATGTGCTAATATTTTGTATGTAATACCGTTTACATCTAGGTCTCATACTATAATGTTAAAACCTATCGGTTTAGAGTTAGCCCGTAAAGGACATAATGTGACAGTGATCACTGGACGTTTAGAAAAGACCGATCTCCCCAACTATCATCAGATTCAAATCGACCATAAGGAAATATGGGAAATTTTGGGTAAGAAACATATTTTTGCAAAAGTGTCTTGTAATTGGTTAGAGAATTCATTTGATGATATCAAAAAAGTCAAATATATGCGATCACATTCAAACCCTAGACGATTTATTCCAGGAATTAATCAAAAATAATTTCTGGAAGAAATCTTCTAGGGTTTTTTTTACTGTTTTTAGTAGTTTGATGACATTATAATTTAAGAAAATTCTTTAGATCTAAAATATAATTTGTAACGATTAACACATAATGTTAAATGAAGTGTTATAAACAACTGACTTTAGACTGTAATAAGGTAATTTTTCATTACAATGATTATAAAAAGAACTCGAATAATAATCAACGTCGATATGATGTTACTTTGTTTAGTGAAGAATACATGACGATATTTATGAGTTTGTACGGAACGATAAACGATAAAAGTTTACAATGTTAGATTGATAACCTTTTCAGGAACAGAAAGACCTAATGTTTTTACTATGACGGAAATATCAGCCGAAGAATTTCATAATTTAATATTGTGGCGGGGTGGATTAGCATTCACCGAGATGGCACTCAATTCCAGTCAAGTTAGACAGTTTTTGGTAGAAGACAACAAATTCGATTTAGTTATCAGCGAACAGTTCTACCAAGAAGCTATGTATACTTTGGCGCTCAAGTATCAGGCTCCTCTGGTGTTAGTGACAACATTTGGAAACTGTATGAGACATAACATTGCTACAAGAAATCCGTTACAATTAGCCACAGTCATTCCAGAATTTCTTCAGTTAACTGATCCAACTAGCTTTTGGGGAAGACTAAGAAATGTTTACTTCACATTTTACGAGTTTGTTTGGTGGAGATATTGGTATTTGGTGGAGCAAGAACAATTAGCAAAGAAGTATATACCAGGTTTACCAAATCACTTACCGAGTTTGTACGATATACAACGAAACGTATCATTGCTTATGATAAATAGTCATTTTAGTTTTGATTCTGCTATTGCATATCTTCCTAATATAGTTGAAATAGGTGGTGTGCACCTATCACATAGTATTGAGAAGTTACCAAAGGTAACTAAAGATTTATTAACTTTTTTATCTATGACAATATATTTACGCTGTTGAAGGTTCTTGTGATCTAAAATAGTGCTTTCATGATAGCCTAATGTATACGAGTTTTCAGTTTAATATCTCTCATTTCGAAATTAACCACTTTTTATTTTCTCATTTGAATGGGCTTAAAATACATCATCATTCATTCAGGATATAGGCTCAGCTCTTCCCTACAGATGGAATCGAATTGAATATAATAGAGAGAATAAATCTTAAAAGCTTATAGTTAGTGTAATAAAATTATATTGTATTTACCTAATCAATTTATAAGTGCTTTTTAGGATCTGCAGACCTTGCTAGATAAAGCTACGGACGGTGTTATTTACGTTAGTTTTGGATCGAACGTGAGAAGTTCAGAACTTCCAACTGATAAGATGGAAGCATTTCTTAAAGTTTTTTCAGAAGTCAATCAAACAATACTATGGAAATGGGAAGATGACAAATTAAAAACAAAATCCAAGAACATAGTGTTTAGAAAATGGTTTCCACAAAAAGAAATATTATGTAAGTAGGCATTATACATGTATAAACTAGGTTAGACAATAGTTAATAGATACTAGATTTAGAAAATATGTGGTATTGCCACAGAGTTAAAAACAAATACCAAGTAAAGTCGTAGGTTTTTGCACATAAATGCATCCGTCATTATCATCACCTATTAAGTCTCCACTGCTGAAACACATGATAGAATCGAATGGGGAAAATGGGCCATAAGCCACCAACTGAGACCAATTGCGGATTGGTGGGTCCTAATGACTGCAGATGCAGCCAGAACCATTTGGCTTATTGTGCCTTCCAAAGCACAAAGGGGCTTGTGATAGCCGATCCTATGATCGGCACTTAGGAAAGTTGCAACACTTCTGCATCATAAACCAAACGCACTAACACATTGCTTCATCGAGCTTCTCAAATAAAAGACTTCAAGTACTACTAGTACTACCGAAAAAATAAAGAAGCAAATTATTATAAGTGTTTTTATTGTTTTAGCACACCCAAATATCAAAGTGTTTATATCACATGGAGGATTGATCGGGACTCAAGAAGCGATTTTTCACGGGGTGCCCATAATAGGTGTTCCTATATACTCCGATCAATATAACAATCTATTACAGGTCCAAAATTTTGGATTCGGTAAAATTCTACGATTTGATGATATCAATGAACAAAATCTACGAAACAAACTAATAGATGTCCTCTCTGACAATTCTTACCAAATTAAAGCTAAAGAGGTCTCTAATCGATTTAAGGATAGACCAATGAATCCTTTAGATACCGCAGTATTTTGGATCGAGTATGTGATTCGACATAAAGGAGCTGACTTCATGAAAAATCCGGCGTTACAATTGAGTTGGCTAAGTTATAATATGTTTGATGTTTGTATCTTTTTATTACTAGTGCTAATACTGTTTTTATATTTAATTTTTCGTGTAATAATATGTTTGAGACAATATTTCTTAAAAAATGATCTTGCAAAGAGTAAGAAATTATAAAATGTTTGCTTATACTTTAGTTTATTTAAAAATATAAAAATTTGATATTATATTTTATAAGTAAAGATTGATTTGAGTAATAAACGTTATTTATATTTACCAGTTATTTGAATCACCAAACAATTTGACTATTGAATGAAATCAATACGATGATTCATCAATTATCAACTTTTCAATTATTATGTCAATAACAATAAATAAGAATATACTTTAACTAGATGTAACTCACGGCTTTGCCTATGTGGTCTGACTACACTAGCCTGTTCTACTGGAGCATCAAGCTATTCTTAATTAAAAATCTACCAGTAAGCATCCACCCCTATATCATCATCATTAGCTAATTACCATCCTCACTGCTGGGGCACAGGCCTACCCTATAGATAGATCTAAATAACAAAAATCTACCGATTTTTCTGTGAATAACAAGCATGTCCTCATTTAATAGCCCAGTAGCACCTCATTAGCTTTCATATTCAGCTGCTTTCATATTACAGGTTGAAAACCGTGATGTTTATCTTGCGCAAGATTCAATGCCTGATCTTCATAACAACTTGATGGTCAGCTTCTTCTTGCTTTTTCAATTCAGCATGTTTAGAGATTTTAGAGCGTTACGTGCTTGAAATTTTGCCAACAGATATTCTGCCATCTCCTTGCCATTCGTTCGATTATTTGTAGGTATTGAACGACTATAGTTTCGTCCACTCAGTATTTTTTCGCCGAATTTATTAATTAGCTCTGATACTTTGAATTTTAGCTGATTTTTTATATAAAACTGTTTCCTATTATAAGAAGCTCATTTTAAGTATTTTTTATTTTTAGTAATTCATCATTATCGTCAGTTCAGTAAATTTTTTGCAAACATAACTTAACACCCTTCGGTTAAATATATTAAAGTATCTCGTTAGTACCTATATGTTATTTTGATATCCGATGATTAATTTGCTATTAAAATATATTATTAAAAAAGCCAGGCAAGCGCAAGTCAGACTCGTGCACGAATAAGTGAGGTGCTCACTAAGACGGAATTTTACGAAAGAGGTTAAATTAGGGGATGAATTTTTTTATAGAATTTTCTCATTTCTGGACAACCACGCGGGCGAAGTTACGCGCAAAAGCTAGTTATTTATATATTTATTAATGATATGGTTAGATACTATGAATATACATAACATTGTAATAGTTGTAATGTAAATACAGATCTTATGATACGACGTATATTATCTAACGATAAATTATACTCAACTTTGTTTAAATTGCATAAGTACCGCTTTTGAATAGATGACAATCATACTGACGATACAAGGGCAAATAACCAGTTATTTTATTGCTACTAAACCAAGCTGACGTACGTGTAGGTCAAAAACAGACTACTAAAATGAAGATATATATTTTTGGGATATTACTAGTAATAATGAATTATAGTGAATGTGCTAATATTTTGTATGTAGTACCGTTTACATCTAGGTCACATACTATAATGTTAAAACCTATCGGTTTAGAGTTAGCCCGTAAAGGACATAATGTGACAGTGATCACTGGATATTTAGAAAAGACCGATCTCCCCAACTATCATCAGATTAAAATCGATCATAAGGAAATATGGGAAATTTTGGGTAAGTGAAATTGTAATTTTTTACCACATAATAAACTTTTTATCATATAATATTAGGCAAAAAAAAAATTAAAGCTACGATGCCAAATGCATTTTATAATTCACTATATAACCCCATGAACTTCATGCTTTTTTTTACAAAAACAATTTAGTCTTATATTTCTCGTTGATGCTGTAACTTTATATTTGTCAATAATTTTTAAAACCGTTACAAAAATAAACTAAATCTTTCCTCTTTGATAATATTAGTGTAGACAGAATAAATCGGAATATATATTTTTTCAAATTTAACCACTCTGTCAATAAATTAAAAAAAAAGCAAATGCTAACTCTGCTTTGATATTTTTCAGGAACTGAAAGACCTAATGTTTTCACTATGACTGAAATATCAGCAGAGGAATTTCACGATTTAATATTCTGGCGTGGTGGATTAGCATTCACCGAGATGGCTCTCAACTCCAGTCAAGTTAGACAGTTTTTGGCGAAAGATAATAAATTTGATTTAGTTATCAGTGAGCAGTTCTTCCAAGAAGCTATGTATACTTTGGCGCTCAAGTATCGAGCTCCTCTGGCGTTAGTGACAACATTTGGAAACTGTATGAGACATAACATTGCTACAAGAAATCCGTTACAATTAGCCACAGTCATTCCAGAATTCCTCGACTTGAATGAACCAACGAGTTTTTGGGCTAGACTTAGAAATTTTTATTTCACATTTTACGAATTTGCTTGGTGGAGATATTGGTATTTGGTGGAGCAAGAACATCTGGCAAAGAAGTATATACCGGGCTTACCAGATAAAATGCCAAGTTTGTATGATATACAAAAAAACGTATCCTTGTTTCTAATAAATAGCCATTTTAGTTTTGATTCTGCTGTTGCATATCTTCCAAATATAGTTGAAATAGGTGGTGTGCACCTATCACATAGTATTGAGAAGTTACCACAGGTACTAAACGTTTTTATTCACTAGAAATACTATTGTATCTTTACATCATCTAGTGATACAATAAGCATATATTAAATTTTATTTTATATTAAAAGAAACATCAATATTTTTCCAGGATTTGCAGACTTTATTAGATAAAGCAACAGACGGTGTAATTTATGTTAATTTTGGCTCCAATGTAAGAAGTTCGGAGCTTCCAGTCGATAAGATGAATGCTTTCCTAAAAATTTTTTCAGAAATAAACCAAACGATATTATGGAAATGGGAAGATGACAAGTCAGAAATTAAATCTAAAAACATAGTGTTCAGGAAATGGTTTCCACAAAAGGAAATATTATGTAAGTATAATGTATTTATAAATTAGCCCACAGACTAGATATTTATAAGTTATAAGATTGACAGGTGCAAGTCGTATATATCTATTTGCACAAAACGGATCCCTAAAAATCTAAAAAATATATAATTATTATATAATATACTTAACATTAAAAGCAATAGCAGTTTTGAATAATAAAAAATATATTTATCTCAAAATTACTATATTTTAATATTTGCGTTTGCATTTTAACGTAATATTAGATTTAAAACAGATTTTCAAACTTTCGTAGAATTAGTGGAGTATGTTTAGTTTTATAATACGCATATTAAAAAAAACTTCTTGTACTTTTTTAGCACATCCAAATATCAAAGTGTTCATATCACATGGAGGATTGATCGGGACTCAAGAAGCGATATTTCACGGGGTACCCATAATAGGTGTTCCTATATACGCCGATCAATATAATAATCTCCTTCAAGCTGAAAAATTGGGTTTCGGCAAAATTCTACGATTCGAAGACATCAACGAACAGAGTCTACGAAACAAACTAATAGACGTCCTCTCTAACAATTCTTACCGAATAAAAGCTAAAGAGGTTTCTAGTCGATTTAAGGATAGACCAATGAATCCTTTAGATACCGCAGTATTTTGGATCGAGTATGTGATTAGACATAACGGAGCTGACTTCATGAAAAATCCGGCGATACAATTGAGTTGGTTAAGTTATAATATGTTCGATGTTTATGCGTTTGTCTTAGGTGTAACGATACTATTATTGTATGTGATTATTCGGCTTATATTATATATCCGACAATATTTCCGAATAAATGTCCACAAAAATGATACTGTAAAGAATAAAAAGAAATTATAAATATTCGCTTTTACATACTAACTAACTGTGTCCAATTTATAACACACAAATTAAAATTGACAATAATTTTAGTATTCTTCTTAGTTTGTTATACTTTTTACATTGTGGTCATTATCGTCACGTTCGATAGGTTTATTATTGCCTTAAGTACGAGCTTACTATTTTAAGAACATTAGTAATTGCTCTTGACTTCGCATATGTGTACTTAGTAAATAGTAAAATCAGATAAAATAATTCTAGGTGTCTCTGTAGGTACTTTATCTAACTTATTTTGGCGTTATTTTTGAAGGATGAGGTGATAATTTGTTTACATTAATATCATAAAAATATATGTATATTTGGAGTTCTTAGAGTAAGCGTTATAGGGTTTATAAGTAAGCAGGTTTTGACTAATTAATTACTTAGTTTTCTAACTTCATTCACCGGATACATTAATTTCTCACAAGTATTCATTCAAAGGAGTAAAAAATAGTTTTCAGTATTCTTATTAAGGTACAAAATCAATAAGAAAATATAGACTCTTATGAGTTCATTACAAGTTTCCATACCCATATCGATTTTTTTTATTTATATAAATAACCGAGATAGCAACGAGAATGTCGAATGACTCGACATTTTATTGGTGTATGTAATATATTAATACACATAAATGACATAAGCATAAGCGATAAGCTTATGAACAGACGGCAATCGTAGTGACGTTCCAATGGGTCAAGTGGGTATCAGTGGGTCAACACACAATTGTTTAAATTATTATATTATTTATTTATTCTATTGAGACTTCACAGACTAACACATGGGTATATCAAGAGTAAGTGCTAAAATGGAGACATGTATACAGCACCTGGCTCGAAAGTAAACCTTAGGCCAAAACTAAAATTATTTATAAAAAAACAAAATTAATAAAAAATCTTAAAAGTGAAAACTGTCATTTATCTACAAGATGCTGCATGACGTTTCTATAAAAGTCGGAATATAATTATATATTCTATTACCAACGGGAATCTACATCAATACACGGGTGTCATCTATAGGCTATATACATACGAAGTCGCGGGGAAAACATGTTTGCGTTTGGGTACTGTACCTGTACATATTTTCGTTCTACTAGCAAAATTTAGTTTTGGAAAATGTGCTTATATTTTGTACGTTTACACTGGGTTCTATTTTATTTTGTTAAAAAATATCGATCAGCCCATAAAGGCGATGATATGACGTGATTACTAGACGTTTTGAGGTGACCTAACACGGATTCGCGCGAAGGAGTTCCGTACAATGAAACTAAAAGTAAATTGTAGTATACATGGGTATAAACGACATCTAGTGCCACTTGCTATCAGCAACGAGATTGCCTCAAGGTTAGAGCTGCGTGATACTTTACATAGATGTCTCTGTTAAGTATGGAATTGATACATTGAAAATGTCTTTTATTCATGGTATATTCTTCCATGATACTACATTGTGATCATTTGTTTAGAATTCAACAAAACGGGCAAAAAAGGCGGTACCTTTGATGTGAACAATAAATCTGGAAAGTTCTAGTAATTTTTAAATATTTAATTAAGACACTACTCCTTTTAGGTTCTCTGGGTGCTGATATGATATTATTACAAGCCGCTTTTGGCGCATTTATCCTAGATTAAAAAAACTATCGTGATACGTAATGTTTCAAAATAACAGTCATACTTACAATATACATAATAGAAGTCATTTCGTCATATCAGTTATATGAATAAATTACTATAACCTACTTCACATGTTTTTATAGATTGGAATAATATAACAACAGATGAAAATGCTCATTTGTTTTTTAAAGACAACAACATGTATGGCAGCTTATCAAATTCGATATGATTATACACTTACGGTCAGTTTACTGACTCCTTTAAGCACTAATGAATGTTAAATTTGTATGGGTCATGTCGCTTTAACTAATGTCAATTTTAATGGACGTTTGTGCAAATAATAAATTAAATATTTTTATACTCTTTAAGTCTATATCAGGATACCATGAGAATTGTCGATATTTCTAAGCTTTTGGATAAACTGTATTTACTATCTCTTTTAAAACTTAAAGCTATGAAATTTAGAGGCTAACTTGACAAAGAAGTAGTTCGACAGTTCGATAGTGTGTATTTAGAAAATTTCACCTTAACATCAACATCTTGCTCGATTGGCATTCTTTACTTGATTGCACCTTTTTTTTGTAAGATTTTACTTTAGATCAGTACAACTAGGTAGTATGCCATGTTAAAACTCTGGATAAAGTTTCATCATCATCAGCCCTTTTACGTCCCCACTGTAGAGGCTCAGGCCTTCCTTATGGATGGTTAAGGAGGATGGGCCATTACCTTCCACGCTGGCTCAATGCGGATTGGAGGGTATTAACATTTGCCAATGCAGCCGGGATCAACGGCTTAACGTGTCTTCCGGAGCACGAAGTAGCTCGAGATAATAATTTTTTGGTCACCCATCCCGTGACCGACCCTTGCGATAGTTGCTTAACAACAAAGATTGCGGGCCGCGGCGCTTATCTTCTACGCCACCGAGCTACTTTAGATAAAGTTTATAGAATAGTATTAAATCTGTAAATCTATAACATCCAATACAGACGTACCGCGTCAGACGCTTTGGCAGAATGACGTCGCACTCTCACTGTGCGTCCACCCACCGCGAATAATTAGACAAATATTTGAACGAAACAGCGTTTGTTTGAACAGGGGTTATGTCGGGGAGAACAGCTTTTGTCCATGCACTTGTCTGCCCGTACTGGCTGGCTGGAGTTATGAATACCAACAGCTCTTGAATTCACCAGCGTCATTTATAGTCTGCTTTTTAGGCGACAACTTATCCTTTTGTAAATGTGCACTGTGATCTTTGTGAAAAGTTTTGTTTTGTATACTTGTTTTGTCTTCTTTTGATTTCGCGTGGTCGTAGAAAACAGTTTTCAAACATCGGTCAAACAACGTATTGTTAATATAATATTTGTTTTGGAGTAGTTTGCTAGCGCAGTGGTTAGAATCTCAGCATAGGACGGTCATAGCATGGCTGAACAAAAAAATAATATCTCAAGATCCGTGCTTCGGAAGGCAAGTTAAGTTGGTTCCATCGTTTGTATCTGCGGCGTTTATATCCACCAGTCTGCTGGACCTGGGTGGTTAATTTGGTTAAGGCTCATACTCCAAATATGATTGTATCTTTAGGGAAGGTCTATGTCCGGAGATATAAGGCCGTTGATGAATGTTTATATGTAGCTATTAGATTTCGAAATCTTGATATTATTTTTATTGAATTCAATTTTCAGCTCCGAAAAGGGATTACAACTGTTAATTCTTACATTATTATTCATTTAGACGCATACATCATCAAAAAATCTTAACAAAAAACTTTTACAATGCCCACAGACAGTAATAAGTCTTTCCTGTAAAAGGTAATGGTGTTTAGATCCAGGTTGTACTTTATTATAGCGTTACGATTGTTGTCAACTTGGGTGATTATCAAGAGATTTACGTTTCCAACGCTAGCAATTTTAATTGATATCAAGTAATAATTAGTGCTTGATTAAAAAAAGAAAATTAAATAAATCAATGTATTCACGTTCCAGGAGGTACTGAGGGAAAATAAAATCGCGTCATAATATTAGTAAAATTAATAATTATGGTAGTAAAATTATTTTATTACCATAAAATACATCAATATATATGTAGCTTACTTGTGTTTATTATTAAAAACAAAATATTTATAAATGTCGGACTGTAGGGCAAAAAGCGCTTTTGCAATGCAAAACTAATTAATAATTTCTACTTAATTAAAATTATTGATTCTAAAATGTAATTCCGATTCAGTCAAAATGTGAATATTAGTGGAGTACAACAATTGCTGTAACAGTTTATTTGATAGCTGGCCTATTTTCAGACAATCGCTGTCATTCACCTCATTAAGAGATCGCAATTAAAACTTGGAGTTTGGTTGGTATCGAGCGTGGAATTAACACCCAACGAAACGTTTGCGAAATGGAAATCGGCGCAGCAATGACGTAGTCAGTGTAATTTGCTCCAGTTTTCATAATAACGTGTTTGCTTGAATAAACATAATTCTGAAACGTTGCGATATTAATAATAACAGTCGGAGTTATATAACTCACTTGTTTAATAACGCTCTCCTCTTTTGGTTTGTGTATATCAGAGTTGGGCTTATTGCTGCGCTGTGATAATAACCAATCAGTTACTTTTGTTATCCTTAGAAATTATATAACTAATAATTGATACACATCTGATGGTGTTGATATTAAATCTAGTGCTGAATTAATATTTGGTACTATTGCGTTTAATTTAGGATCGGTAAGCCTATTCCGCTAATGTTGGCATTATAGTAGCGTTTCAGTATAATCTTAACTACGAATAAATGCGTTTTGGCATTGTACTGTATATCTGAAGTCTAGTATTATTATTATCTGTTATCATTGATGAGTAAGGAATACATAGTACTAATAATAATAATATTGGACTTTAGGACTTTAGATAGATCATCATCATCATCATCAGCCCTTTTACGTCCCCATTGCAAGGGCTCAGGCCTTCCTTATGGATGGTTAATGAAGATAGGCCATGGCCCTCCACGCTGGCCCAATGCTGATTGGAGGGTATTAACGAATGCAAATGCAGCCGGGACCAACGGCACGGAGTAGCTCGAGATAATAATTTTTTGGTCACCCATCACGTGACCGACCCTTGCGATAGTTGCTTAACAACAACGATCGCGGGCCGCGGCGCTTATCCACTACGCCACCAAGCTAGATAGTACAATGGTAAAATGCAAGTCTAATGAGATTCGAGTACTTAATACGTAAACATTTGTGGAATTGGCCTACAGACTGAGGATCTGACTGACTTTCATAGAATTGACAGGAGCACGGTGATGGATGTAGTGAGTCCTTAGATAAAAATCACCAGTATATAGATAATGATAGTTGGGAGGTGCAAACTCGCCAACTTCGAGTT